CACCCCCCCACCGCGGGGGGCGGGCCGACCACAGCCCGGCGAGCTCCCCTGCCTCTCCAGGACCGATTTCCTGCACGTGAGCAGGCAGACGCGGGGCCAGGCCTGCCCGTGCCCAGGCCGCACCGCTGGGACTCCTCCCTCCGCCCATCAGCCAGGGCAGCTCGGAGGAAACACGGCAGAGGAGGGGGGCACCCAGCTCGAGGTCCCAGGGACCCCTACCTCCCAGTCTCCAAGTCCAAGCCAGCAACGCCCCACCATGAGTCCAGCACTGTCCACAGTGGGGGGGGTGGAGAGGGGAGGGGAGGCAGGGGGTACACGGCCCTGGCCCCAGCTCACACCTGCTGCATGAGGATCAGCTTCGAGTCCTAGGCAGGGAGGCTTCGGCTGTGCCAGGCAAAGGGCGTTCGGGGGGGCTGCAGCAGGAAGGGGGGCAGGTTTAGGGAGGCCCCCGATCCAAGGTGTCCCTGCTATCAACCGTGGGGCATGAGCAGGGGTGTAGCTGGAACACTCACCCGCCGGTTGCGTGTCCCCAGACGGGCCTAGGACACAGGAGCAGAGCCAGGGAGAGAATGGCTGCCGGGGGCAAAGGGCATTGCAGCCTGGCCAGGGTGTCTGACCTCTGCCCCGGGTGTGCCCGGCCCATGGGAGCCGGCATTGCCCAAGCTCATCCTCTCATCAGCCCGCTTCCCGTGTGCGGGGGAAACTGAGGCACGAGAGATCCCATGCCTTCCTGCCCAAGGTCAGAGCAGGTGCGTGATGGAGGCAGCCTCAGATTCCTCCCTTAGCTGTGGCCTGCCCTGCCCTGCCCTGCCCAAGCCCTGCCCTGCCCAGGCCCTGCCCCGTGCCGCCCGCCAGGCCCGGCTGGACCACAGCCCCAGGCTGGGCTGATGGGGTGCGGAAGAGGCTCCGGCTCTGGATTTCCTCTCCACCCACACGAGGAAGGCCAGGAGGGAACCCCATGCTGCAAAAGGTGTCCCCCAAATGGCATCACCCTCCCCCTCGCCTCTGGAATGTAGGGCTGCTGAGGATCCAGCTTCCAGAGGGGCTCCCCCCCAACCAGGTCTCTAGCCCTGGGGGGTGCTGCTGCCCCGCCTGCAGGGGTGCAGGGCCCTCTGGGCAGGGAGGGCCCAGGCTGGGGGTGCCACAGGGCACCCCACCTCCTCTCCTGCACATGGACTGGGCCCAGCAGAGCCCACTGACAAAACATCCCAAACAAAGGGAGGGGCGAGGGCAGAGGAGGGGCGCAGGGAGTGGGCGGAGTCCCG